CACTGCTGATTATGGAGCTAAGTAAACAAAAGCTGTTTACAATCTCAATCTCTTCACCATCCATTCTGATGCTGCCAACTGTCCCAGTGGTGAGAATCTTTGTTTTATTGATGTTGAGCCTCAATCCATATTGAAGACTGCCGTCTTCAATATGACGTTCATATTGACGTTCTGCAGCAAGCACATCAGGTCCTCCTCACTTTCAGCAAGCAGGGCTGTGTCATCCGCATAACACAGGTTGTTGATGGATCTTCCACCAATCCTGATGCCACATTTCTCCTCATAGAGCCCAGCCTCTTGGATAATCTGTTCTGCATATAGGTTGAAAAGGTATGGAGATAGGACACATCCCTGGTGTACGCCCTTCCCAATTTTGAATCATGCAGTGTTTCCTTGCTCTGTTCTGACGACTGCCTCCTGGTTCAAGTATAGGTTTCACATTAGCACGATCAAGTGTTCTGGGATTCCCATTCTTCTCAGAGTCAGTCACTTTGTTGTGATCCACACAGTCAATGCCTTTGCATAGTCAATGAAACACAGACAAACATTCCTCTGGTACTCCCTGCTTTCAGCCAAGATCCATCTAACATTAGCTACAATATCCCTAGTACCACAACCCCTTGTAAACCTGCCTGCACTCTGGAAGTTCTGTGTTGATGTGCTGTTCCAACAGTTTTTGGGTAATATTCAGCAGAATCTTGCTTGCATGTGATATCAATGATATTATTTGATAATTTCCACAGTCTGTTGGGTCACCCTTCTTTGGAATGGGAACAAATATAGATCTCTTCCAGTCAGTTTGCCAAGTGGTTGTCCTCCAGATTTCTTGGCACAGCTTGGTAAGCACATCTAAGGCAGCATCTGTTAGTTGAAATATGTCAATTGGTATACCATCTATTGTTGGGGCCTTATTTTTTGCCAATTCCTTCAAAGCAGCTTGAACGTCTTCCTTCATCACCATAGACTCTTGCTTATATGTTGTTTCATGAAATTCTTCTGTGTTCACCAATTCCTTTCGGTACATTGACTGTATACTCTTTCCATCTTCTTTCAATACTTCCTGGATCATTTAATATTCTGCCCAAAGCATCCAGTCTAAATCAATCACATGATCTACTATGTCAGGAATGAAAGACAAAGGAAAAATGGTGTTGCATTGTTAGTGAAAAAGAAAATTTCAAGATCTATCCTGAAGTACAGTGCTGTGAATGATAGGAACTATCCATATGCATACAAAGTTAATACAACTATCATTCAATCATAAGCCAAAGAGGAGGAATTTTAAGATTTTTACCAAACTTTGCAGTCTAAAACTGCTTAACTGTGAAAACAAAATGCATTAATAACGGATGACTAGAATACATAAGTTGGAAACAATAAAGAAGGAATGGTAGTCAGGAAATACAAACTTGGTGACAAAAACGAGGCCAGATATCAAATGATCAAATTTTGTATAATCAATTTTTTATTCATCACAAAAATAATTAAAAAAAAAACACCCACAAATGGCAACTTTACATATGAACCTCACCTGATGGACTGCACAGGAATCAATTAGAAAAGCTCAGTATCAGCAGTCAAAACCAAGCCAGGTGCTAACTGTTCAAATTGAGGCCAAAGAAAATGAAGGGGGGAAAAAAGTCCACAAAAACCAATAAAATAATGAGTTCTTGAGTCTATTTGAGGCTCTGAACACTAACGATCGAAGACCCAATAAGTCGTGGGATGACATCCATGAAGAAAGCAAAATGTCACTGCAAAGACACAGGAGGCCTAACAAACAGAAGATAAAACAGATGAATGGAGCCTTCCAAGAGTCAAATCCCTATGCACATCCAAAACTTCTCCAACAGGGTAAAAAGGGAAGCCACAGACTGGGAAAAGTATTTGGTAATGACATGTCAGATAAGGGACTTATATCCAGAATTTGTAAAATACTCGAGCAACACAACAAGATAACAATCCAATTGAAAAATGGACACAGGATATGAACAGACAGTTCACCAAAGAAGACATTCAGATGGCTAACAAGCACATGAAGAAATGTTCAAAATTCCTAGCTCTAAGAGAGATGCAAATCAAAACAACTATGAGATATCATCTCACCCCAGTAAGAATACCAAAATTTAACAGAACAGCAAGCAACAAATGCCGGCGAGGTTGTGGAGAAACTGGAACCCTTATTCACTGCTGGTGGGAGTGTAAAATGGTACAACCACTGTGGAAGGCAGTGTGGCACTTTCTCAAAAAGTTGCAAATAGAGATACCATTCAACCCAGCAATTCCATTACTGGGAATATACCCCAGAGAGACCATAACTGCCACCCAAGCAGATATATGCACACCCATGTTTACTGCAGCTTTGTTCACAATAGCAAGGAGTTGGAAACAACCTACGTGCCCATCAACAAACGAATGGATAGAGAAGCTGTGGTATATTCACACAATGGAATACTACACTGCATTGAAAAACAAGGAACTCATGCAATATTATTCAAAATGGGTGACCCTGGAGGACATTATGATGAGTGAAATATCTCAGTCACAAAAGGACAAATACTGCATGGTGCCACTGTTGTAAAGCAGGACTGACCTCAGGGTTGGGAGGAGACCGAGAAGGATGGGTTCAATAATTTATACTGCATTGAAACAGATGAGGGAGAAAACTGTTTAAGAGGAAAAATTATTAGGTATTTTTGTCATGACAGGAGTCCAAAGTGAAGGCTGTATAGTGGAGTGGACCTGGGGGGAGGGATTGTAAAACAATGAAAGAATTTTTCATTTACTTTTCCAAGAGGGGAGTGTACTGGAGGAAGAAATGACCAAAATGGATATCAGAAAAGATCCTGAAAATTACACCAGAGTATCGAGAAGCCAAAACAAAGGGAAGAGATGCAGAAGTAAAAGAGGTGAACAGAAGATTTCAAAGGGCAGCTCGCGAAGACAAAGTATTAGAATGGAATGAGCAAAGGTGTTGGAGAATAAAAAGGGAGAAAAACTCACTTGGCTTTCCTCAAGCTCAAAGAACTAGAAAACAAATTCATGCCTCAAGATGCAATACTAAGAGACGCTATGGACAAAAATCCTGAATGACCCAGGCAACAAAAGAACATGGAGGGAATATACAGACACACTGTACCAGAAAGAATTGATCGGCAATGAAATATTTCAGGAATTACCACATGACCAAGAGTCAATGGTAATGAAGGAAGAAGTTCAAACTGCACTGAAGGCTCTGGCAGAAAATTAAGACCCCAAGAATTGAAGGGATAGCAACCGACAGGCTTTAACAGGTACAGCCCTGGACATGTTCACTAGTCTATGCCAGAAAATTTGGAGGACAGCTGCCCGGCTGATCGACTAGAAGAGATTCATATTTGTTCCCATTCCCAAGAAAGGTGATCCAAGACAATGTGGAAATTATCAAATAATATCATTATCATCATATGCAAGCAAAATACTGCTTCAGATAATCCCCAAAAAACTGGAATAGTAGTACAATCACAGGGAACTGTCAGAAGCTCAAATTGGATTTAGAAGAGGTCATGTCACCAGAGATAGTTTACCATATTGTGCAGCAATTCTATTCCTCAGGAGTTATCCAAGAGACATGAAAATACATGTCTACAGAGAAACTTTAAAACAAAACTACAGTATATTCCTACTAGGCAACACAACTTCGCAGTAAAAATCTGAACTATTGGTATACTGGGAGCTCTAGTGGCCTAGTGGTAAGGTATTTTGTTACCAACCTGAAGGTATGCTGCTTGAATCCACCAGTGGCTCATGGGAGAAAGATGAATTCTCTCCTTCTGTGTAATTTACAGCCTCTGAAAACCTGCTGGAAGGTCAGCTATGAGTCGGGTCCGACTAACAACAACACTGGTACACAAAACCAAACCACAACCTTGTTTGCTGAAAGCAAGGAGAATTTGAAGCACTTAATGAAGATAAAAGCCTTTAGTATAGACTATACCTAAACATTAAGGAAATAAAAATCCTCACCACTGAACCAACAAGTAGCATCACGATAGATGGAGAAGAGAATACAGTTGTCAATGATTCCATTTTACTTGGGACCACAATCAACACCCATGGTAGCAGCAGTCAAGAAATCAAAAGATGTGTTACAATGGGAAAATCTGCTGTCAAGGACTTCTCCAAAGCTCTAAGGAGTAAGGATGTCAGTTTAAAGACTAAGGTGTGCCTGGTTCAAGTCATAGCCTTTTCAACAACTTGCTATGGATCTGAACGTTGGACAATGAATAAGAATGGCAGAAGAAAAATCAATGTCTTTTGAGCTGTAATGCTGGTTAGAAAAGTACTAATATCCCACGGACGGTCAAAAGAACAATTATGTCTTGAAGGAAGTGCAATTAGGGCACATAACAACAACTAGTATACATAACAAAGAAGATCTCAAAAACATTATAGCATGAAGATCATGCCTGACACAAAACAGTACTTATTATGTTTCTGATTTCCTAACATTCAAGAACCAAACTCAGGTAGGTGAGTTGATTCCAACTCATAGTGGCCCTAATGGACACTGCAGAAATGCTCCACAGGTTTCCAAGGCCTTTCTCTTAATGGAGTCGCTGATGGGTTCAAACTGTTGACCTTTCAGGTAGCAGCTGAGTGCTCTTAACCAGGGGTCCTATTTAAGAACAGGCAAAACTAATTTATTGTGAACACAAAAAAAAATGTTCCTAAGAGTAGTAGCCTCTGAGAGTAGGGGACGGGAACAATGTTAACCTGAAAGGATTATGAGAGAACTTGTTAAAGGTAATGAAAATGGATGATAATGAAAATACATGAATCTGGGCAATACTTACAGGAGTGAAGAATGAATACATCTGTCATAATTCCTCAAGTTGAACACTCAAGATCTAGACATTTTAATGTACATTAAACATGTCTATCTAAACTTTTTAAAAAATTAAAAAACTAGACACGCATAGAAGACTTTTAAAAATACCTTTGGAAAATGTTTTACTTACCTCCTTTTCTTTTGAGCAAGGTTGAGCTCCATAAACTTATACTTCTGGTATTGTTCATCCAACTTCTTGAGTACTATATCTGCAGTGTCATTCCCAGGTTGTTTCATGAAGGAATCTACATCTTCCTTTAATATACAGAAAATATAGTGTTTTATAAATTTTAGAATTTATGTCACTAATTTAGACTTTTAAAGGCTTTATTTAAAAAAAAATAAGGAAAAACTGTTGGGTGGTTTGGGTTTTTTTCCTCCAAAGGCTTGTTTTGTTTCCTCCCAAAATGCTTGTTTTGAAGTAAAATTTTAATTATCAAAGATTTTTCAGACAGTATACATAAATTATGTACCTAATTTCTTTTTCCTTTGTTCTCTTTTTTTATTTTTTTTTTTCATTTTTAAGTAGGGAAACAAAGATGATCTTTGCTTTATTGCATGTCTTGCATATCTTAGGCAGCTGTGGGAGTGAAAAGTTGTACTATGATCTACTCACTACTCAGAAAATGATACAGCTGCGTGCTGAAATGATAATCAATTCAATTAATTTTTAACTCTGGTTCTGTCATAGAAATTATGGTCATTAGATTTCCAAGGCAAGCCATAAAAACCTAATTAACCATCAAACAGTTGAAATAGTCAACCTAAAAACAAAAAATCTTGTACCAGGAATAATTACACAGAAGAAAAACAGTAAAACAGAACAGCAATGTTTTAAGCATACACTAAATAATATTAGTCCCTAACTCAAACTCACTCACTGCCATCGAGTTGGAATAGTTAGGGAGCAACTGGTGAATCTGAACCAACAGATAGGTGCTAACTTTGGGTGGCACAACTCTCCATGGACTATGTCACCAGAACTCCATAAAGAAATGCTAAATCAAAACTAAAAAGATCAAAACTAAAAGATATAGAAATTGAAGGAGATTCTAAAATTGCCTTCCATCATAGCAAGAGCAATAAGGCAAAAGAAGGAAATGATAGGTATCTAAATTGGCCAAGAGGAGTTGTTATAACTATCCCTATATGCAGATAATGTGGTAGTATACTTGGAAAACCCTAAAGATTCAGCAAAAAACAACTGGACATAGTCGACCAATTAATTCAGCAAACTAGCAATTGGATCAGTTGGATTTTTCTACAGTGACAAAGAGCATATAAATGGAGCTAAGAAAAACAGTACCAATTATAACAGCTAATCACAAGATGAAATACTTGGGAACAAATCTAACTAGAGATGAAAAAAAAACCTATGCAAAGAAAATTACAAAGTATTACTACACGAAACAAAAAGAGAGGTAGAGAAATGGAAGAATATATCATGCTTATGGGTATGAAGACTCAATAATGTGAAAATGACAATTCTACCAAAGGCAATCAAGTTCAATGCAATCTCAGTATAGATATCCATCCCATTCTTTAATAAGATAGGGCAATTTCCAATTTTATCTGGAATGGAAAGAGTCCCTAAATAAGCAAAACACTACTGAAAAAGAGAAATAAGGTAGGAGGCATAACACTCCCTGATCTCAAATTCTACTACACAGCCGTGGTGGTCAAGACAGCGTGGATATTGGTACAGCAACAGACACATAGATCAATGGAAGAGATCTGAGAACCCAAAAATCAGCTCATCTACCTATGGTCAACGGATTTTTTTTTTAATTTTTATTTTATTATTTTTGTGTGCATGTACCGTCAAATCAGATCTGACTGGTACAGGAGGAGATTGCCCCTCCTTCCCCGGCAGAGCATCTGGTGGATTCGAACCGTGCACCTCTGGGATTGTAGTTGCAGCTTCTTGCCACTAAGCCACCAGAGCTCCCCTGGTCAACGGATTTTTGACAAGATGAAATCAGTTAAATGAGGAAATGACAACCTCTTTAATAAATGGTGTTGGCAAAATTGGAAAACCATCTGCAGAAAACTTGAGCAAGAGTCACACCTCACACTATACACAAAAACCAACTCAAAGTGGATCAAGGACCTAGGAGTAAAACCAAAGACTATAAAATTCATCACAGAAAATCTAGGAACAACTCTAGAAGTCCTAATACACACCATGAACAGACTTCCAAGCATAATGAAAAACCTACAATACAGAATAAAATAAGTGAATTGGACCTTCTAAGAATAAAAATCCTATGCTCATCAAAAAATTTCTCCAACAAGGTAAAAAGGAAACCCACAGACTCGGGAAAAAATATTTGGCAATGACATATCTGATAAGGGATTCATATCTAAAGTTTGTATCATACTCCAACACCTCAACAAGAAAAAAGCAAGCAACACAATAGCAAATTGGGCACAGGATATGAATACACACTTCACTGAAGACATTCAGATGGCAAAGAAATCCCAAATTCAAAATCCCTAATTACCAGAGAGATGTAAATCCAAACTAAGCAATATCATCTCATCCTAGAAACAACAGCAAAGTTCAACAGGACAGCAAACAACAAATGCTGGCGAGGTTATGGAGAAACTGGAACACTTATTCTAGTGGAAGTGTAAAACGGTACAACCTTTATGGAAGAGGATATGGCACTTTCTCAAAACATTGGAAACAGAAATACCATTTGACCCAGCAATTCCACTACCGAGAATATACCCTAAAGAAACCAAAGCCAAGATTCAAACAGATGTATTACTGCTGCATTATTCGCAATACTAAAGAGATGGAAACAACCCAAGTGCCCATCAATAAACAAAGAGATAGGAAAACTGGTACATTCACACAATGGAATATTATGCAGCAATGAAAAACAATGAACTCATAAAACATTACACAACATGGATAAGCTGGGAAGATATTATGCTGACTGAAATACCTGCCACAAAAAGACAAATACTGCATAGCATTGCTCTTATAAAATAGGACAGACTAAGTAGTTGGAGAGAGAATAGTAAGAGTAGATAGATAATGAACAATGAATTGGAAGAGATGAGGGGAAGAACTATCTGAAAGGAATATATAATTAAATATGTATGAAAATCTAGAACAACAGGGACTCAGGGATAGACAAGGAAGGGGGAGGGAGGAAAATTTGCAAGAGTGAATGAATAAAAATTCAACCTTTCTGTAAACTTTCATTAAAATCACATAAAAAAATAAAATTTGCCTTCAATTTACACCTTATACTTTACTCAACAACTCATTGCTAAGAAGTTGGAACTGACACATAACTGACCCTTTAGTATGTTTCCATAAAAGATGGAGAAGAGATTGAGGTTGTTAGCAATTACAGCTTGCTCGGATCCACCATCAACACTCTTTAATACCAGCAGTTAGGAAATCAAAAGACGAATTGCATTGGGAAATACGCTGTCATGGACCTCTCCCGAGTGCTGAAGAGCAATGATGCCAGTCTAGATACAAAGGTGCACCTAATCCAGGCCATGGTTTTCTCAGTTACTTGTTATGCTTCCGAAAGTTGGACAATGACTAAGGATGACAAAAGTCATCAGAGCTGTGGTGCTGGAGAAGAGTCATACCATGGACCACCAAGAAAACAAACAGGTCTGTCTTATAGAGGGTGAAACCAAGTCTCTCCTTGGAGGCTAGGATTTTGAAGCTCAGTCTCACTTACTTTGGCCACATGGCCGGGAGAGATTGTTCCTTGGAGAAGGACATCATGCTCTGAAGGGTGGACGGGCAGCACAGGAGAGGGAGACCCAGGATGAGATGGATTGATACAGTAACTGGGGCAATGAGGATTGGTGTGTCAGAATCAGTGAGATTGGCTCAGGACAGGGAAGGGTTCAGAGCTGCTGTACTATGCATCGCAGATGTCTCAACCAATAACATTCTATGACAGGTTTGGAAGCATGAGGGGCATCCACTTACTAAAAAACTTGCCTCCGGAAACTCTATGATACTTTCATAAATGTCGATAGTTGTAGAGGGGCTTCAGGCCTTTTCTTCATGGGGTCACTATGAGTTGTGCTCAACTCGAAGGCAATCAACAGGTGGGTTTCCAGAGATAAACAGCCTGGGAGGAGATTGCTCATCTTTCTCCAGTGAAGCAGCTGGTGGATTTCAAACATGTCTCTGGATGGCAGTGCAACTCCTTTCTCAAGAGGCCACCAGAGCTTCCCTCAAAGGCCTTTAGTTTGTCAACATAAGTAACTTAAACTCAATTATAGTACAGTTTCTGAGATTATGTCATTATTCTTATACATGCTTACCAGAAAATTTTTTAGCTGCAACAAACAAAAAAACTGAACTCACTGCCATCCAGTGCAAACTGCCTCTTAGCTTACCTTCCAGTGTGGGTTTGTGGGGTTTTTTTAAATTTTATTATTTTTTTGTGTGTGTACCGTCAAATCGGATCTGACTGGTATAGGAGGAGATTGCCCCTCCTTCTCCAGCAGAGCATCTGGTAGATTTGAACCACATACCTCTGGGATTGCAGTGCAGCTTCTTGCCACTAGGCCATCAGAGCTCCCCCAGTGTGGTTTTTTTAAGGCTGTAAATTGCACAGGAGGAGAATGCTCTTCTCCCATGGAGTCTCTAGTGAAGTCTAATCACCAGAGAGGTGTCACCTTTGTGTTAGTAGCACAAATCCCTATGGACAATACCACCAGAGTGCCCTGGCTGAAACAAGGCAAGATGAAAAAGGTAGAGAAACCTAGTCAAGGAGTGAACGATCAAGTCATCAAGCTAGAAGCACCTTGAAATAAATGGAAAAGGTAAAGCTAAGGTAAAGGTGTAAATGACTATGCCTTATGTAAAAATGATACATCTTCCTATGAAGAAAAAAAGACAACCTCAAATTCTAACACAAGGTACACGCTATGAGTAGCTTAGAGTCTAGCAGCCAGAACTGACTACAGCAGATTATAGTTGAGTAACTGGGGGCACCACTTACTATTAACCTTCAGAAGTCATTTAACCTATTTTTGTCTCAATTACTTCACCAGTAAGGATAAAATAAAAGTATCTTTTCCCCCTAGAGGACTAAAAGAGCTAGTTTTTAAAAATGTTCAGAAAATATGACATTTAATAAGTTGTTCTTATGTGCCATCAAGTTGGCTGCGATTCGTAGCAACTCTTTATGTACAACAGCTCTGAACCCTGTCCTACCCTGAGCCAGTCTCACTAATTCCAACACACTTATTTCCATTACCAT